AATTTTAATGCTTTGATATGAGAATATTATTTTATTTCAATATAAAACCTACTAATTTGAATTTAAAAATGGATTTAAACGATAGAATTATAGTTCATTTTCAAATTTAAATAAGAAATATTTTAAATTAAGATAAACATAAACCATGGGATGAAAAGCAAGATCTTTTTCTGAAATATATATTATTATTTTGATTTTGATTTAAATTTTAATTGTTTTTTGCCAATAGAAAATAATTTTTTCCAAATGTCGATAATCAAAAAAAAAATTCTGTTGAAGGAAATTAAAAAAATTCTGAATTAATTTTGCTTCGCTTTATTTAACTAATTTTCAATTTTATTACAAGTAGTTTTTATTAATATTAAAACTTGAAAAAATGCTGAGTCAAACTGTAGTAATTAGTATCTTCAGATGTGTATTGACATGTAAAAGTTGATCACTAGATAATATGGCTCAATCGGGTAGATGACGAGTAAGTAACACATGGTATGCATGTACGAATCTAACTTTCTGCACATATTTCTATCATTTAGACTAGTCCGAACTAGACCGCTACATAAGACTGAAACCTAATAGATGTCGCGTCACAGGCGCTCTGCTTTTTTTAATTTAAAATCTATTTTCGGACGGGATGCCCAGACGGAGTTAAAGATTCCAAACCATTTTGGACTAGTCATGTAGTAGGCCTTTTTGAGAAAAAGACTAGATATGACGCATAGTCACGACTCGAAAAATGACTAGTCTTTTACCCGTCCTTTGCTCGCCTGGGTTAATCCTGCATTTTTTGAAAAAAATTTAGCAAACCCAATTGCATGTTTGTTTTCCGAACTCTTACGTGTTAAAAATAATAAAAATTCCAAATTACTGGGCTATCATACTTCCAACGCCTCTAGTCCAACCACTACTGCTGACAAAAAACTCCTTGACAAAATAGTTTTGTCCAAAGAATAAAAAGAAATGGAACCATAACTTTGAGAAATTGAGAAAACTACGAAAGATGATTTTGTCTATTTGAATTTTTCATAGTTTGAATACTCATAATTTATGCACAATATGCACGAATCAGTTAAAATTACTTGCAAAAAAACATCAAGAACATTCTAGATTACTACTGAGCTTCATGAGTATACAATGTAGTCCATAAATCACCTGAAAATCTTGTATTGCGAATAACTTTTGATAGGAACAAGATATAGACCTGCAGTTTTCACCATTCGAAACAGCGATGTTCAGACCATCGTTTCATATAATATTCACTAAAACGAAAGATGCTTTTTCATAGAAACTTTTCAATTGACATTCTTTTTTTTGTGTATTTTTATAAGTTTCTACATTAATTCCATCTCAAATTACACTAAAATGTAGCTCAAATCACCCATTTTTGGCTATAAAATTATAACTTTATGCAGTATTCCGTCGACCTCTTTTTTTCAAGTGAATCTTCGAAAAATACTGATAATTTTATAGCGAAAAAATGGGTGATTTGAACTACATTTTGATGTAATTTGAGATGGAATTAATGTAGAAATTTATGAAAATACACAAAAAAAAAGAATGTCAATTGAAAAGTTTCTATGAAAAAACATCTTTCGTCTTAGTGAATATTATATGAATCGATGATCTGAACATCACTCTTTCGAATAATGAAAACTGCAGGTCTATAGCTTGTTCCTATCCAAAGTTATTCGCGATACAAGAGTGTCGGGTGACTTATGGACCATCCTGTACATTAAAGCAAATGATACGAAATGCATTCATGAACTTTATTTCTTTTAGATATGAATGTGAGAATATCTCGCTTAAGTTTCACTAGATTTCATTATTTGAATCTTTCAATTGAAATTGTGATATATATAACTCATTGCTAACAAAACGTTCCCGTTTTCGGATATCACTAAAGCGTAGTATGTTCACATACGAGGAAGAAATGTTTCGAATGCGACCTTTAGCTGAAGATGAGTCCAAACCACCAGTATCCAATATCGATCTCATTCCATTCGATTCGATTATGATTTTTCCTAAAATTATAGGCTGAAAAAAGCTAAAATTAAATCTTCTAATATTTTGAAAGAATATGTTTCTTGAACAGAATTAGAAGTACATTTTTTTATGAACTATTCTGTCGACATCTCGGTTCTATTTAGAAGATGTTGATCTTTCGAATTAAACTGGCGATATTGACCTTATCAAACATCGTATTATTGGCTGTGTATGACGAAGAAAAAGTAGATAATCGACTAAGTTTCAATGTACCACGTCATTTATTATCAAGTTATGCTAAGGAGCATCTACTTCTCATCGGCAAAAATGCAGCCAATATTAGCACCAATGATTCGATATTTAACATTCACTTTCGTTATAGCATTCATGATTTTCGTCTCGTCATTACTGATTCAAACGATGATCATGAGCTTTATAAAGTAATGTGTAATCGATACCACAGATGTCGTATATTACAAAATGGAAAGGAATTAATTCGATTGAATGGACCGATTACAAGAGGATTTTCCTATGAAGACTTTATCAGTCGTCCATCAATTAACATAGGATATAATTGGACAATGTTCACTGTGCCTGACAAACATAAAGTAATGCTTTTTCATGCAGCTTATAGCAATCAACAACCTCTAGCAGAGCTTACTTTATTCAAAATTTTTAACACATTTTCCAGCACTCCCACCTATTCAATTAACATCGTTAAACAACCTTTTTTCAAACCTGCATTTCTCATTGCAATGAGCATCATGATTGATGGTGGATTATGAACATCAAATCGAAAAACTCACAAAACTATTGACTATTTTCTTTATGTTCTTAGCTAATTTTACGTGTCTATTTCAACTGTTCAATAAAAACATATGAATTTATATGAGAAGTTCTATGATAATGATTGTATAGCAAACATAAAATAGAATACAAAAGGATATAGATACAATTGAGACCAAGATTGAACAAAAATGAAATACTTAGGGCAGTTCAAAAGTAGTTGCGGAAGTTCGATAATCCCTTATAAAAAGCTTTAAGAAACTTTCTCTCTATATATTCTAATAGAGAAAAGAATGCTCTATTTTTCTATTCTATTCGATCAGACTTCAATTAATATCATAATAATAAACTTTCGATAAGATCTGTTTCGTTAGGATATATGCTGGTTGTATTAGATCATAACGAATGAGCAGATTATACAGTCGTGCTTTGCACTTCAATTTTCAATTACTTAATATGTTGTATTAAGAAAACAAAATATATCACAAGATGCGGTGTGAAAAGCTCTACAATTTGCATAAAATCGCTTATTTTATAGTTACACTGATTTTTTTTCAAAATGGACCAAATTCTGAGCAATCAATTTTCAATGCTGCCAACAAGATCATTTACTGATACGTGACAAATTCTTTTTCTTATTCCTTCGACTAATGAGTCATATCGAAAACGATAATAGATGGCCGCATTTAGACTAATCGATATGTCCCATGGCGCTCATTTTTTATGAATCCCGCCGGGATGGGGGTGTGGGTGTGGGGTGTGTGTGAGTGTGAGTGTGGGTGTGGATATCTTCTTATCACATACACACATCCACACCCACACCCACACCCACACCCACAAATGGTCACTCCTAGTGGCCAATAAGGGTAAAGGGTTGTTACAGATCCCTGCTTCTGTAACGAAGATTAATGTTTGTAAAATCTTCTTTTGGTTCGGTTCAGCCGAGTTTCTTCGGTCTATCCACTTTATTCGAATTATATTGTTTTCTTCTTTTTTTCCTTTTTGTTACCTCACATATACATATTAACACCAAAGAGAGAGAGAGAGAAATACAAGTAAAATACAAAGAGAGAGATGAATAAGTGTCTTCTACTTCAGCCTAGACTGTTCTAAATAATGAAGATGACGTCCAACATCTTCTTTCGTTAAAAATGCCCTTAAACTTAGAATAGAAGAAAAGACCGAGAATTAGTTGAAATTGTCACGGCCAGATAGGAAAGTAGAAAAGAAAGAAGAGGAGAAAAGGAAAGAAAAGAAATATCCATCGACTAACGTATGTAGAGTGAAAACGTATATCCGAATGATGGTGCGCACACAAGTTGAAGAGAAGAATAATAATAAGACGTATGTTAGAGTACTCTCTAACAAGGGTAAAGCAAAGTTATCTTTATTAAAATCGATAGATTCAGAGTTATAACGTTCTTAATTCAGACTAGTGGTCCCATGAACAGTGGAAATCAGGATATGAATAAATAAAATACCTTACAAAAAATTATAAGATCAATTCAATAAATTTTTCGGTCAGAGTAAATCATGAAAATTCAAAAAAAAGAAAAAAATATCAGTGGAATTGAGGAAAAATGTTCAATGTGTTGGGGAAAGATAATGTTTCTCATAATATTTCTTTGAAAGAAATCATTAGTGACAGTTCATATATTGTTTTTCTGATATGATGAATTTTCTTTGTTGTATCTCAGCAGGTTATCTTTTTACACAAGAGGCTCATCCTAAAGTGAAAAGTTCAAGTAAATAGATAGTTTTTCTTTAGAACACATTTTTAATCAATTAATAAAACCATCTATTTTCTTTATATAAATTATATATCCATGTATTGGTATTCTTTTATTTGGTCTTATTTCAATAAATAGTAAACCTTGATAATCAAAGCATAAGAAAAGTAAACACTAATACGTTTAGTAATTTTCTCGTTAAGAGTTCAAAAGAATTAATTAGGAAGGGAACTAGAATTGATTAAGACTCTGATGAAATTATTGACATTGGAGTAAATGTCATTTCTCATGAACTTCCTATCATAGTATAACAATTCTAATAATAAGACGAGCAACATATAACAATATCTAAATCAAATCTTGATTTAGTAGATTTTATTTAATATCAATAGCTGCAAAAAAAAGAAAAGAATAGTATAAGTTGATATTCCTTTAGCTGGTGTTCCACCGTATATGCAAAATCAACTTTGTAACTGAGATTTTCTCAAAGGAACAGCACTTTTCTGGTTTTTCTCGGTAATACAGCACTGTGTGTGGGTGAAGGTAGAGGATTGAAACGGAAAAGTGCTTTTCCATTGAGAAAATGTCAGTTACAAAGTTGATTTTGCATATGCGGTGGAACACCAGCTAAAGGAATACCGTATAAGTTGAGCTATATCAAACAGAATAATAGTTTATTGTAAATATATAATAAAACGTTTAATTTTCGGCCGTAATAGAGGCCATCGTCAGAACAAATTGATGGAACAATTAATACAAAATAATGCATTTATCATCAATTTCATAATGATTGTTGTACATTATATGTACGATATGAATGAGATAAATCAATAAACAAAACCAGTCAATGAAAATGCACCTAATCCAGGACCTATACCACCTAATACAAAATCACCACCTAATATTAAACTACCATCAGCAAGATCATTAACATTAACACCTGTTGTTTTTTCTCTAAATAGAGAATGAATATATACCATGTTTGTGATTGCTTTTTTAAAAATTCATACATCAATTAAATAAAACATTAAAAACATGGATTTTTAATAATATAACAATTCTAATAATAAGACGAGCAACATATAACAATATCTAAGTCAAATCTTGATTTAGTAGATTTTATTTAATATCAATAGCTGCAAAAAAAAGAAAAAGAAAAGAATAGTATAAGTTGAGCTATATCAAATAGAATAATAGTTAATTGTAAATTCATTCTCTGTTTAGAGAAACAACAAACAGGTGTTAATGTTAATGGTCTTGCTGATGGTGGTTTTATATTAGGTGGTGATTTTGTATTAGGTGGTATAGGTCCTGGATTAGGTGCATTTTCATTGACTGGTTTTGTTTATTGATTTATCTCATTCATATCGTACATATAATGTACAACAATCATTATGAAATTGATGATAAATTCATTATTTTGTATTAATTGTTCCATCAATTTGTTCTGACGATGGCCTCTATTACGGCCGAAAATTAAACGTTTTATTATATATTTATAATTAACTGTTATTCTATTTGATATAGCTCAACTTATACTATTCTTTTCTTTTTCTTTTTTTTGCAGCTATTGATATTAAATAAAATCTACTAAATCAAGATTTGACTTAGATATTGTTATATGTTGCTCGTCTTATTATTAGAATTGTTATATTATTAAAAATCCATGTTTTTAATGTTTTATTTAATTGATGTATGAATTTTTAAAAAAGCAATCACAAACATGGTATATATTCATTCTCTATTTAGAGAAAAAACAACAGGTGTTAATGTTAATGATCTTGCTGATGGTAGTTTAATATTAGGTGGTGATTTTGTATTAGGTGGTATAGGTCCTGGATTAGGTGCATTTTCATTGACTGGTTTTGTTTATTGATTTATCTCATTCATATCGTACATATAATGTACAACAATCATTATGAAATTGATGATAAATGCATTATTTTGTATTAATTGTTCCATCAATTTGTTCTGACGATGGCCTCAATTACGGCCGAAAATTCAACGTTTTATTATATATTTACAATTAACTATTATTCTATTTGATATAGCTCAACTTATACTATTCTTTTCTTTTTTTTTGCAGCTATTGATATTAAATAAAATCTACTAAATCAAGATTTGATTTAGATATTGTTATATGTTGCTCGTCTTATTATTAGAATTGTTGTATTATTAAAAATCCATGTTTTTAATGTTTTATTTAATTCCTATCATAGTGTTATTTTCAGATAGAATTACATATTTATTGATCAAATATTTTCAACATTTTCTTTACTCTATTATTAAAACGGTTAGTGATTTCATATTTCACATTTTATTCTCGGAAAGATTCTGTTAGCAGCTTTTTTTTCTAGTGTTTTCAAATAATGATTTATTTTTAGGGTGTGGATAACCAAAGATCCACACTCGGTCTGTTGGTCTTTGATCCTGGCGCGAACTGTGATAGATATAGTGAGATTTCTTCACAATGATTTCAGTGGCTCCATCTTGTTTCACGTTTTAATCCCACAGAAATTGCACTGAAAGCTTTTATTCCTATAATTAGATAATCAAGAAGAGATAGTATAGTCAAAATCATACATAAAACAAAAATTAGAAAAAGTGTGATAGATTCAGCCGCGAATGTTCGCAAAATAATAATTCGGTCATTTAACGAATCAGTAGTGACAAAACAGCACCAAGCAGATTGATGACCACAGCTACTATTGCTAGTATTGCTGCCACACTCAACGACTTCTTTATTGGCAATCCGTCGATATGATTGGCAAAAGCAATACCTATTCCAAGACCAATAACACCCGCCACAAAGGCACCAAATGCAAGGGCCTTGCTTATCATAATCACTATCCGATTCTGATTTATACTTTGTAGTGCACATGCGAAAAGACATATAGCCGAGACACCTGATATAATACAAGCGATAGTTACGAACGCTCGAGCTGCTACCATTTTGTGACATTGAGCAGCTCCTGTACTTATTTCAAACGAACATGATGATGGTAGATTGCCACATATTGTTCTGTCAAGAACAGATTCACAAGCGCGCCATAGACCCATGGTCTGTTTTCTTGGATGAGATCCTGGTAGTTGATGGTCTGTTAAGCCAGCCTGTGCTAAAGCATTGTTTGTTAAATCGATTTTTGCTGAATCAAGCTCCAGTGAACTCCTAAAAACAAACACCAATGTATAATAGTTGAGACACTTTTTTGTTTTATGCGATAGCAATGACATAAATAAGAGATCAATCTTGCAAAAGCATCAACGACTATGTAAAGAATTACTTACAAGGGGGAAAAAGCGGATTTTTTTGGATTTTGAATCCGAAAAAATCCAAAAAATCCCAAAAAATCTCAAAAAATCTCAGAAATCCGAAAAAATCCCAAAAAATTCCAAGAAATCCCAAAAAACCCAAAATCTAAAGTAGTCTTCAACAATATACCCTGATCATATTTTCAAGTGCGTCGAACATAGATAACCAGTTTTAAAGGCTGCCACACATAGAGGAAAAGGTCCCTAGTCGAGAGTCCCCAAATGGATACCTAGGGAGTCCCCAAATGGATCCCTAGGGAGTGCCCAAATGGATCCCTGGGGAGTTCCCAAATGGATCCCTAGGAAGTCCCCAAATGGAACCCTAGGAAGTCCCCAAATGGAACCCTAGGGAGCCCCAAATGAATCCCTAAGGAGTCCCCAAATGGATCCCTGTGGAGTCCCCATTCCCCCTCAGTCCCTGGGAGAGTTCCTGTCATGATTCTCCGGAGACTTTGAGGGGGCTTTATAATGAGATTTCATTAGGGGTGGATATTATGATAAAAACGTTGGTACGATCGTTTACAGTCGTCGTAAGCCTCATGGTATATTTCTGGGGACTCCCACGTAAATCCCCCGGAAGTTCTTGACTACCTCGTAAATCCCCGGGGTCTTCCTGTCGTGAGTCCCCAGAGATTTTTCTGGGGACTCCCTGGGGATTCGTAAGGGGATTCTCGACTAGAAGATGAATTCACAAGATTCCACATCCCAATGCCGAGCACAGCTTCGAGTTTTCGAGTCAAACGTGGTAAGATTGAACTCGACTCGAACTCGATCCTGTAAACTTGAACTCGACTTGAACTCGAACATATGAACTCGAATTCGACTCGAACTCGAACCTCAAAACTCGAACTCGACTTGAACTCGAACCTCAAAACTCGAACTTCTAAACTCGAACTCGACTCGAACTCGGGTTTAGAAGTTCGAGTTCGAGCTCACTAATTCATCCAAATCCAAATACTATTGAGCAATAAGATTTCAGGAAAGTTTATCTCTCTCATTGTTGGCACAAAACTAATTCTCATTGCTGAGACCATAAGTAGAGGAAACACTAATTCCTGGTTAGTTTGTTTGCACTCTAATTGATCAAAAACTTTAACTGTAGTTCTCTATCACAGAAACGACAATTCCGAATTTCATACAAGCCCATAGAGATTTTCGAGGCCAAGGAACTCGAAGCTGAGCTCCATCCGTCCAGACAACCCATAGTGGGAGGGGGCGGGAGTGCAGGGAGAGTAAAAATCAATAAAAATCGAGTTTTTAGGAAAACAGTTTCTTGAGAGTAATTCGATGTGGAGAATTTGGATCTGGCCTTCATTGGCTAAGACACTCCCGACCAGAGCTGTCATATTCCACTTAGTATTAAGTAGTAAGCAGAATATAACATCTCTAGTTGTAAAAGTAACTATCTGAGATCTATCTGGAGGCCGCAAAGGTAACTATCTGAGATCGATGCCACAGTACCAAAAGTACTATTTGAGACCAATTGTGAGGTGTCAAAAGCAATATTCTGAGAACTAGTTGGGGGTGCCTGAGATAACTATTTGAATGCTATCTAGAAGTACGAAAGGTAATATTTTGCCGCCTCTCGAGAGAAGAGGGGTACCAAAGGCACTATTGTAGAACTTATTTGAAAGTATCAACGGCAATATGTTGGGATCGTATCTGAGGTCACGTGGGGTAACTATCTGAGAGCCACGTCATCGTACCATAGGCATATTCGGAGCCTCTCTTACAGTAGGCAAAGTCATATTCTCGGATCAATCTAACAGTACCAAAAGTAATATTCTGGAACCTAATCGACAGCGCATAAGATAAACTACTTGAGGGCTATTCAACGTACCAAAGGTACTATTCTTGGGCCTATCTGAGGGTATCAATCATAACTTTCTGGGGCATCTCTCTAGGTAGCAGAGGTAGGAATGTAGGGCTTAGCTGGGTGTACTGAAAGTAACTTTTTTCATCGCGTGCTGGAACATCACTAGAAACTCTCAGAAGACTATCGAGCCATGTTAGAGAAAACTTTTAGGCCAGTCGCCAGATAAAACATCTAACCTTGCGAGTAACGAGCGGAGCACATGAGTTACCGATGAAACGCTTTTCGGCCAGTTACTTATTTAAAACAGGATAGTTCTGAAAAGTCAGTCTTTGTAGTAGCAACTAGCGTTCTTTGAGTTACCTGTAGTGCGTCTAGATATCTTCACAAAACCTAAGTTTTGGTATCATAGGGTACTTCGGCAGACGTACATTCAAGACTCCAGGCGAGTGCTATCAGAGCTACCTTCTGTTTGTCTAATCAGTTCCAAACAGTTAACATCGGTGTTCCCACATAAGGGTGTGGGTGTAGGTGTGGGTGTGGGTGTGGGTGTGGGTGTGTGTGGGTGTGTGGGTGTGGGGTGTGGGTGTGGGTGTGGGTGTGGGTGTGGATGTGGGTGTGGGTGTGGGTGTGGGTGTGGATGTGGGTGTGGGTGTGGGTGTGGGTGTGG